ACTATAGTCATCCTGTTGGTCTGTAGTCGTCCTGCTGGTCTGTAGTCATCCTGCTGGTCTGTAGTCATCCTGATAGACTATAGTCATCCTGTTGGACTATAGTCGTCCTGTTGGACTATAGTCATCCTGTTGGACTATAGTGTCCTGCTGGTCTGTAGTCGACCTACGGGACTATAGTCGTCCTGTTGGACTATAGTGTCCTGCTGGTCTGTAGTCGACCTACGGGACTATAGTCGTCCTGTTGGACTATAGTCATCCTGTTGGTCTGTATTCATCCTGTTGGTCTGTAGTCATCCTGCTGGACTATAGTCATCCTGTTGTTCTGTATTCATTCTGTTGGTCTGTAGTCGTCCTGTTGGTCTGTAGTCATCCTGCTGGACTATAGTCATCCTGTTGGTCTGTAGTCGTCCTGCTGGTCTGTAGTCGTCCTGTTGGTCTGTAGTCATCCTGCTGGACTATAGTCGTCCTGTTGGTCTGTAGTCATCCTGTTGGCCTGTAGTCATCCTGTTGGACTATAGTTGTCCTGTTGGTCTGTAGTCATCCCGTTGGACTATAGTCGTCCTGATGGACTATAGTCGTCCTGTTGGTCTGTATTCGTCCTGCTGGTCTGTAGTCGTCCTATGGGACTATAGTCGTCCTGATGGACTATAGTCATCCTGTTGGTCTGTAGTCATGCTGCTGGACTATAGTCATCCTGTTGGTCTGTAGTCGTCCTGCTGGTCTGTAGTCGTCCTGCTGGACTATAGTCATCCTGTTGGTCTGTAGTCATCCTGCTGGTCTGTAGTCGTCCTGATGGACTATAGTCATCCTGTTGGACTATAGTCGTCCTGATGGACTATAGTCATCCTGTTGGACTATAGTCGTCCTGCTGGTCTGTAGTTGACCTACGGAACTATAGTCGTCCTGATGGACTATAGTCATCCTGTTGGTCTGTAGTCATTCTGCTGGACTATAGTCATCCTGTTGGTCTGTATTCATCCTGTTGGTCTGTAGTCGTCCTGTTGGTCTGTAGTCATCCTGCTGGACTATAGTCATCCTGTTGGTCTGTAGTCGTCCTGCTGGTCTGTAGTCGTCCTACGGGACTTTAGTCGTCCTGATGGACTATAGTCATCCTGTTGGTCTGTAGTCATCCTGCTGGACCATAGTCGTCCTGTTGGTCTGTAGTCATCCTGTTGGACTATAGTCGTCCTGTTGGTCTGTAGTCATCCTATTGGACTATAGTCGTCCTGTTGGTCTGTAGTCATCCTGTTGGTCTGTAGTCATCCTGTTGGACTACAGTTGTCCTGTTCGTCTGTAGTCATCCCATTGGACTATAGTCGTCCTGATGGACTATAGTCGTCCTGTTGGTCTGTAGTCATCTTGCTGGACTATAGTTGTGCTGTTGGTCTGTAGTCATCCTGTTGGACTATAGTTGTCCTGTTGGTCTATAGTCATCCTGTTGGACTATAGTCGTCCTGTTGGTCTGTAGTCATCCTGTTGGTCTGTAGTCATCCTGCTGGACTATAGTTGTCCTGTTGGTCTGTAGTCATCCTGTTGGTCTGTAGTCATCCTACTGGACTATAGTCGTCCTTTTGGTCTGTAGTCATCCTGTTGGACTATAGTCGTCCTGTTGATCTGTAGTCATCCTGTTGGACTATAGTCGTCCTGATGGACTATAGTCGTCCTGTTTGTCTGTAGTCATCCTGCTGGACTATAGTTGTCCTGTTGGTCTGTACTCGTCCTGTTGGACTATAGTTGTCCTGGTAGTCTGTAGTCATCCTGCTGGACTATAGTCGTCCTGTTGGTCTGTAGTCATCCTGTTGGACTATAGTCATCATGTTGGTCTGTAGTCATCCTGTTGGACTATAGTCGTCCTGTTGGTCTGTAGTCATCCTGTTGGACTATAGTCATCCTGTTGGTCTGTAGTCATCCTGCTGGACTATAGTTGTACTTTTGGTCTGTAGTCATCCTGTTGGACTATATTCGTCCTGTTGGTCTGTAGTCATCCTGCTGGACTATAGTCGTCCTGATGGACTATAGTCATCCTGTTGGTCTGTAGTCGTCCTGCTGGACTATAGTTGTCCTGTTGGAATGTAGTCATCCTGTTGGACTATAGTCGTCCTGTTGGTCTGTAGTCATCCTGTTGGACTATA